CCCACCCACATTTGAAATTAGTCTCTTTATAAACAAACCTTTGTCTGTTTATCCGAATCTGAGTGTGTCGTCTGTTTTCTACTGAGACTGCCCACGGATAAAGCATTGATGCAAAATGAAGGCTAAGGAAAACAAAAACAAAAGACCCAGGCAGAGGGAACAGCATGAGTAATAGCAAAGATGCATGAAAATATTGTATTCTCTGTTTAATTCCACTTATCGGTGAAGGGAAGATTGCTAAATCTAATGTTCAGTTCTTAGTCCTAATCTTACTAGATTTATCAGCAGCATTTAGCTAGTTAATCGCTCTCCTTCTTGGGGCAAATTTGTCACATGACCTTCATGATACTTCACTCTCTTTGTTCTTGTTCTTCCTCTGGCTACTCTTTTTCAGTCTCTTCCGATTCCCTCTTATTTCCCTGATGTCTTCACTTCCTCGCTGCTAAATGTTGGAGTCCCAAGGACTGTCCTTGGTTCTCCCGTCTGTCTACATCAATTCTCCATCATCATCCAGGACTATGGCTTTAAATACTAGGTATGCTGTCCACTCCCAAATTTATATCTCTTACCTAGACTTCTCCTACAAGTCCAGACTCACAGAGCCAACCTAAGCAGAGATAGGAACGATGTCTAGAGCCAGCTCCTAGAGCCATTACATTTTCACGAATTTTTCTAGCCTCTTGCTAAAAGCAGTCAATACTAAAAACTAAATTATGTAAACTTAAAACTAAATAATTAAAAACAGAGGTAATATTAAAAACTCATCATTTTCTAATTATTGTACTATATTTTATTTTCTATGTTCTTGGGGTTATTAACATCTATTCTAGCTGTAAGAAACTGATGAAAAAAATATTAACAATGCAGATTAAATTTGGAGTGTATTGGGTCTGTAGCTATTACATTGTGAATAAGACAAAAAATTTGAGGAGCTCTAGCTGGTTTGGCTCAGTGGATAGAGCGTCAGACTGTGGACTGAAGGGTCCCAGATTCAATTCCCACACATGCCCAGGTTGCAAGCTTGATCCCCAGTAGGGAGCATGCAGGAGGCAGCCAATCAATTATTTCTTTTTTAAAAAATATATTTTATTGATTTTTTACAGAAAGGAAGGGAGAGGGATAGATAGTTAGAAACATCAATGAGGGAGAAACATTGATCAGCTACCTCCTGCACACTCCCCACTGGGGATGTGCCCGCAACCAAGGTACATGCCCTTGACCGGAATCAAACCTGGGACCCTTGAGTCCACAGGCTGATGCTCTATCCACTGAGCTAAACCAGTTAGGGTCCGATCAATTATTTCTCATCATTGATGTTTCTATCTCTCTCTGAAATCAATTATATATATATATATATATATATATATATATATATATATATAAAATATATTTTATTGATTTATTTTTACAGAGAGGAAGGGAGAGAGATAGACAGTTAGAAACATCGATGAGAGAGAAACATCGATCAGCTGCCTCCTGTACACCCCCGACTGGGGATGTGCCTGCAACCAAGGTACATGCCCTTGACCGGAATCGAACCTGGGACCTTTCAGTCAGCAGGCTGACACTCTATCCACTGAGCCAAACCGGTTAGGGCAATAAAAATATATTTTTTAAAAAACTTAAGGAAATAGTCTTCCAGTATTGGAAAACTACTATCCAATTCAGCAAAGTCACTTGACCTAGTGAAGTTCTAAAATATGTCTTTATTGTTTTACTTTCATCTTACTATTAATGTAAATGAACATATCAACTGACATTCATCTTGGAACTGTACTCATTCATTCAGCAATTGAAACCATTAGTTGGCTACAGATACAAGTTTGGCAAAAATCAAGCATTCTGTGAGAATAAATTGGCCATGTGGAAATTAAATAAGCAGTATTGTATATTTTTATTATTATTTGTGAAAGAGAATTATGGGGGATCCAGAAGTGAGTCCTCTACCCTTCCAGGTGCTCATCTGAGAACTGTGTGCATTTTCTGTGCCTGTGGAACTCTCACTTGTGTAGATGGACCACCTGGGAATAGCTGTGCTCTTTCAGAAACACCAAAAATTCATAGTGGACTAGAAATAAAATGACAAAATATACACTGTGGGCTAAAATCAACAGCATCTCATATCAGACTCTAGCATAGACAAGTAATAAAAGTAGATGATTCAGATATAAACCTTCCTGCCCCCAAGGAGCGCACAGTCTGGTGGCCATGGTAACAGACAACTACACTCATATTATTATCACCTCACTAACAGGAAAATGTACTAGGTACAAAGGCAACAGAGAGGAGGGAGTGATTAAGTGTAGTAGCAGAGGGGGATGAAATCTGAGCTGAGTTCTGAAGCATGAATAAGGGAAGGAGAGAAGGGCCCAGAAGAAAGATTTACAAGTGAGAAATATTTCACTATTTTTTCCTGCTTAGTAGAAATGCCTACCTATCTGAATTTTAACAGGAAATAGCTCAGCCAAGCTTGCAAAACCCCAAGTTGTGTAGAGCAGAATTTAAGAAGCCCTGGTTGTTGGGACATGTAGGGAAAGGCTGGGTGAAAGGGACAGAGCAGGAAGGGAGACCAATAGCTTCACAAGGCAAAGTAGAGAAGACGGGACCATTTAATACCATAGGACCCGTCAAAGGCTCAAGGCTCCAACAGAGAAGGGAGGAGAAGGGGTAGAAAGGGCAGGGACACTTTACTTTTGCCTTGGCAGAATGTTTTCTCTTCTAGGCAGTAGCTAAGCCACCTGGTTAATTGGAAAATGAGGCATTTGTCTGGAGCAGGCTTTTTCCTGTTTTCCATCTCTCTGATAATGCTGTATGCTCCTGAGGAGAGAGGCCTCCTTGATAGTGCAGAAAGGTCCCATGTTCTGACTCTAAAGGCCTGGGCTTGAGTCTTATTAACTGTATGACCTTATGCCCAGTTTCAAAACCCTTGGTCTCCACAGCCTAAAGAGTAAAATCCAAGTTCTTTGACTTGGCACTCAAGACCTTTCTCCATCTGGCCCCCGATGATGCAACTTCATCTCTCCCATACCCCTTCTCACCCCAACCAACCAAGCACTTCTCTTGAGCTCTGTGCTTTCACAGACATTGCTCCCTCAGGCTCACATCTTTGCCCCGCTCCCCCATTCCCAAACTGGAGAATCCCCATTCCTCTTTTAAGACGAAACTCTGATCACCTCCAGGAGGCTTTTCCTGACTGCTAGGTTAGCCACACCTCTGGGCCTCAGAACCCCAGATCCTCCTCTACCCCAGCACTTGGAGCACATCTGCTCTTGCCCCTTCCTATCTACTCTCTACAGAACGGTCAGAGGGGTCTTTCTATAACACAGGACTCGCTCCTCTCCCCCACTTGAAAAGAAAAGAAAAGAAAAAGAACCTTCATTTCTTACCTTAACGACCATAATCTCTACTATGGCCTACCAGGTTCTTTGTGACCTCACCCCTGCCTGCTCTACACCTCCTCTCACCCTTCGCTCTCTCTGCTCCAGCGGAACCCAGCCTTCTTTGTTTCAAAATGCACCGTTTCTCTCTCCTCAGGACCTTTCCACTTTTAACCTGGCTAATTTCTACTCTTTCTTTAGAGCTTAGCACAAATGTCCCTTCTGGGAAGCTCTCCTTGAGCCCTGCCCCACCCCATACCCAAGGCTAGTTTAGGTGTTACTTACCACAACAGTAATTTTAGAGCTATTTATGAATTATTTAATACCTGTGACAGCCTCCCCCCCCCCCCCCCCCCGCCAGGCAGGAACCACACGGTCTTGTTCATCACTGCATAAGAGGCACCTACAGCAGAACCTGGTGTAGAACAGATGCTCAAGAAGTATTTGCTACGTGACAGTAGGAGTGCTTAGCCCTTACTTCATTACACAAAATCCCGAGTACCTGGCTTCTCTCATGGTAGCCGGTGAGCTCCCGGAGAACGAGTAGTATAAGCACCCAGCTCCATACCTGGCATTTAGTGGGGCTCAGTAGGGGTTTTCTGAGTGTGGGAGTCACTATGATATGCTGCCCAGATCCCCAGTCAGTGAAGACCTAGGACACCAGTGCTGTCAGTAGAAAGCCTGTAGCTGTCAGTCCCTTCAGGGACAGGGCCACCTTGGCTCCTGTCACACCTCTTCCCAGATGGCCCCCTATCCAAGGACTAATGAAGGCAGGCATATAAAAGCCTGGCCAATTTCGTTTATCTGGGGACAACTCTGAAGGGCCATCCTAGCTTGAGTCCCTGTGGAGTCAGCCAAAACTGACCTTAGGCCTTCAGGGAGCTCTGGACTCCTGCCCACGCCTGTCCCCGCCTCTCCCTTCCATGGGTGTTGGTCCCCAGGGTGTTTCCTCATAAGCATCCTGCACTGCAATTCCATCACTGAATCTGCTTTCCAGGAACCCAACCTGCAACAGGCCCTCGATCGTCTCTTCCCTCCCTCCTTGCCATCCCTTTCTGGAACCATCCATTCATTCATCACTTAATGCTTCTAGGCACCACTCAGCTGGCAAAGTGTTTCACGTCCATTTCTCTATAGCTCCCATTCTGTGCTGCCTACCTGCTACAAGAGGGGAGGCTAGCCCCACGGAACAGACGGAGAAACGGAGGCCCCGAAAGGCGGCGGCGTGACCAGCCTACGGGCCAATACGCTGATTAGAAGCTAACGCTCAGATCCAGATGTTCGCGTCCTTGCCCTACCGAGTCTCTGCATCTCTAGAACAAAAACGAGACAGAGCCACCTCGGTGAACTGAATTCTGGTCCCAGTGTTCAAAACCCTGGAATTATGGCTTTGGGGTCCAGGGAGGCGCGCGGGGTCCAATGCTCCCTGGTAAGGAGGGGAAACACATCCAGAGCCTGTCTCTGCGCGGCTGGAGGAGGAAAACGAGAAGGGGCGCGTCCTGCCTGGCCAGCCGGGTGGCAGTGGAGCCGCCTCCTCCCGCCCCCGGGTCTCCCCCCTCTCCCCCCCCCACTCGCTCCCCCCAGGCTTTGCCCTCCCCGCGCGGCCACCTCGGGATCGAGCCATGGTGGCTGCACTGCTGGCGGCGTGGCTGCTCCTGGCTGCCGCGGCCCGTGCGCAGCGGGAGCAGGACTTCTATGACTTCAAGGCTGTCAACATCCGGGGCAAGTTGGTGTCGCTGGAGAAGTACCGCGGGTCGGTGAGTGTCCGCCCGAGGGCCTCCCCCGGCGGGGCCTGATGGGGGCGCCCGGCGGCCCTGCGTCCTGCGGGGTGTGGCTCCGAGGGGCCTGGGGCTGCCCTGCGTCCCTGCCCCGGCTCCCAGCCCCCACCCTGCTAGGCGCCCCCCGATCCCGCTCAGGGTCTGTTCTGCTACGTGGCAAGGCCCTGGCGCGCAGTGAAACCTGAGACTCGCGGAGCTGGCGCTGCTTTCCCTGACGCCGACTTTGGACTGCGGGTCCCGACCTCTCCCAGAGGCTGGCTGCGCGGCCCCGCCCCCCAAGCCCCCTCCAGCTCAGCCTCGGTCATGCAAGGGTGGAAAAAGTAACCCTAGCACCCCACGGCCTTTGTCTCCGCCATCCCCAGTTCCGACGTCTGCAACTGGGAGAGCTGATTGTGAGTCCAGTGAGAACATGGTGGGAATGAATGTGCAGCGCAGAGGGAATGCGCGGGTACCTTAGGCAGATCCTCCTCCAGGGAGGACACTGAGGCCAGAGAGGGAGGTATATTTGTACGGGTCACACCGCACCAGGAAAGCACAGGGCGCCTGGAGGAGAAAGCTTCATCCGCACTTGGTCTACTCTCAGCAAACTCCTAAGATGGCAACTCAGGGTGAAATGAAAGAACCATCCAAGCTAACTGCTGCCTCCTTACCACGAGGGCATCTCAGCTCAGAGCGCCTTCAGAGAGGAAGTGTGTAGGGTGAGTTTGAGCAAGTTCAAGAAGAGCATTCCAAGCAGAGAACTGTCCATGTCAAGGCTCCAAAGCAAACAGCAAGAAGCGTGGAGGAGTGGTGTGACGTCAAGCAGTTGTGCTTAAAGCATAAGGCTGAGATGGTGGAAACGGGGCTGAAGAGCGCGGGGAGGCACCGAGAGGGGCCTTGAACACTATATCCAGAGGCCTAGATGGTGCACTGTGTGGGATGAAGAGCCCTCCACTTCTCAAGGGAGGCTGTGGTGTGGGAAGGGTGGGGAGTTGGTCTCTAAGGGAGAGGTGGGCCCATTGTCCAGATTTGGACGGACCACACAAAAATGGCTGCCAGCATTCCTCTCCAGGAAGCAAGGCCGTCTTTAGTCTTTAGTGAAGAAAGTACTCTCTAAGCCTTAAAATTCTAGGGCCAGTGATCCCAACATGTTGTGAGTTTCAAATGAGATGACAGGGTGGGAGCCCTTGGTAGAGTGCTCTGTCCCTGTGTCTGGAGGGCCCCAGCAGGAGCTTTATCCAGAACTCAGAGCAAAGAGCCACAAGAAGAGCAGGGCCCGTTTCCATTCAGGCCTCTCCTTCCCTCTAGGGCAGCAGGACACAGGGCCCCAAGGTTCGCACTTGACCAGCTCTGCTACTCATTAATTCATTCTTTCTTATTGAGCACCTGCTGTATACTAGGTACTAGGCTAGCCCTGGGGATACAGTGGTGAACAAAACAGACAAGTTTCCACTTTAATAGAGTTTATATGAGGTAAAGAGGAGAGAGAAGAAGGGAACAGAAAAATGGTAATTCCTAGTAGTAATAAGTGCTATGACAAGAATAGAACAAAGTCTATTTGTCTTTAGAAATAATAAGGCATCCAGGATGTGAGGAACTGAAATTCTGGAGAAAAAGATGACTCACAGAAGTAATCTCAGAATTCTGAGTGGTTTAATATCCTATCTAGGTCATTGGTAAATGCATGGGAGCGAGAGGCCAAGTAATCGATCAGAAAGAAATTGGAAGAAAAAAAGAATCACACAGCTACTAAGTGACAGAATTAGAATTTGAACCCAGGCAGTCCAGCTCTAGAGCCCGTGCCCTTACTAGTAAACGCCAGGTATAGAGGCAATCAGCAAGTCAGTCCAGGAAAGCTGTGAATGATGCTGAGTTAACCCCAAACTAGGTCTGCCACTTGGGCAATATTGTTGTCATTTATTCAGTTGCAAATAGTTTTTAGCTCATTATGTATATTTCACCATAAGTTTTTAATTGAAAAAAAAAATTACTGGCTCCCACTACATGCTTGGAACTGGGTCCAGCCCTGGAGATATAGCCATGAGCATGCCCTCAGGCTAATTGGGAAGACAGTCATTTAGACCAGCATTGAGTATGAATGAATAGGTAACCATTTGGGAATGTGCTTGACTGTAGTGTGAAGATATGTACTTGTAGGCCTGAGTGGTGTGTGTGTGTGTGTGTGTGTGTGTGTATGATTTGTTTGTTTGCTTGTATATTTCAATGTGTCTGTCTGTTTGTGCCACTTTAAGGATAAGCATTTTGATTTCAGGCATGGAACTAGAAGCAGGATTTCCTTCCTTCCAAAAGAGTGGACAGACACACATTATGCAGGTTTAAAATAAGCACTTTTTAAAAAATTCTTTATTGATTAAAGTATAACATATGTCTCCTTTTTCCCCCATTGTCCTCTCCCCTGCCACTCCCCACCCCTAACCCCTCAGCACATGCCCTCACCCCCTTAGTGTCTGTGTCCATTGGTTATGCTTATATGCATGCATATAAGTCCTTTGGTTGATCTCTACCCCTCCCTCTAGCCCTCCCCTGCCTTCCCTCTGAGGTTTGACGGTCTGTTTGATGCTTCTCGGTCTCTGGATCTATTTTTGTTCATCAGTTTATGTTGTTCATTATATTCCACAAATGAGTGAGATCGTGTGATTGTTATCTTTCTCTGATTGGCTTATTTCGCTTATCCTAATGCTCTCCAGGTCCATCCATGCTGTTTCAAATGGTGGGTGTTCCTTCTTTTCTTACAGCAGTGTAGTATTTCATTGTGTAGATGTACCACAGGGGTTTTTTTTTGTTTTTGTTTTTATTAGTTAAGGTATTACAAATGTGTCCTCATCTCCCCCATTAACCCCCAACCTCCCCCCCCCCCCGCCCCCCACACACATGCTCCCATCCCCCTGTTGTCCATGTCCATTGGTTTGGCTTATATACATGTATACAAGTCCTTCGGTTGATCTCTTCCCCTTACCCCCGCCCTCCCCTACTTTCCTTCTGGGGATTGATAGCCTGATCACTGTTTCTCAGTCTTTGGATCTGTCCCTTTTCATCAGTCTATGTTGTTCTCTATAATCCACAAATGAGTGAGATCATGTGTACCACAGGTTTTTAATCCACTCATCTGCTGATGGGCACTTAGGCTGTTTGCAAATCTTAGCTATTGTAAATTGTGCTGCCAAGAACATAGGGGTGCATATATCCTTTCTGATTGGTGTTTCTTGGGATATATTCCTAGAAGTGGGATTACTGGGTCAAATGGGAGTTCTATTTTTAATTTTTTGAGGAAACTCCATGCTGTTCTCCACAGTGGTTGCACCAGTCTGCATTCCCACCAGCAGTGCACCAGGGTTCCTTTTTCTCCACATCCTCGCCACCACTTGTCATTTGTTGATTTATTGATGATAGCCATTCTGACAGGTGTGAGATGGTACCTCATTGTTGTTTGATTTTCATCTCTGGGATGATTAGTGACTTTGAGCATGTTTTTATATGTCTCTTGACCTTCTGTATATCCTCTTTTCGAAAAGTGTCTATTTGGGTCCTTTGCCCATTTTTTGATTGGATTGTTTATCTTCCATTTGTTAAGTTGTATGAGTTCCCTGTAAATTTTGGAGATTAAATCCTTTCCGGAGATAACATTGGCAAATATGTTCTCCCATGCAGTGGGCTTTCTTGTTGTTCTGTTGATGGCTTCTTTTGCTGTGCAGAAGCTTTTTTAAAATAAGCACTTTTTAATACTTTCCATGCCCAGGGAATCCAGCAGAGAAGAAAGAGGAAGACCCCTGACTAGGGAAGGAAGTTAAGGGTCCCAGTTTCTCACTACCACAGGCAGAATATCACAAATGCTGATGCAAATGGGGGAGGTTCTAAGAGCCTGTGGCCCCAGGGAATGGGTTGTTCCTCATCTGATGGAGGCAGGGTGAAGGAGTTATAGCTCAGTGATTCTCAACTGAGGTAATTTTGCTACCTAGGGGACATTTAGCAAAGTGTGGAGACATTTTTAATTGTCAAGACTAGGCATTTAACCCAGCTGGCGTGATTCAGTGGTTGAGCCTCAACCTATGAACCAGGAGGTCACGATTCAATTCCTAGTCAGGGCACATGCCCAGGTTTCAGGCTCGATCCCCAGTGCGGGGTGTGCAGGAGGCAACTGATCAATGATTCTCTCTCATCATTGATGTTTCTATCTCTCTCTCCCTCTCTCTCTGAAAAAAAGAAAAATACTGGACATCTAGTGGGTAAAGATCAGGGATACTGCTAAGCATCCTAAAACGAACAGAATAGCACCTTCACACCAAAGAATGTCCAGTCCAAAATGTCTAACCTGGGCAGTTCACGCCTATGCATGTCCAATGCCCCAGGCTACCCCCGGGAGATGTCCCTCTTTATGGAGCCAGCTGGTATAATCCTGGCTCTTCTGAAAAGGTGGACAGAGACATAGGGCTGGGAAGCCCAGACACAAGGTAAGATTTAAAATTGTTCAATAATATATAACTAAGAGCTAAGAACATAGCATTGGTGCCAGAATTCTAGTTGCAGTATTATAATCAGGTTCAATCAGCCAGCTTTAGATTTATCACATAAGGGTGCTAAATAAACAAATTTAATAAATTTATATAAATCAGTTAATTTATTATAAAGCGACCATACATTTAAAAGTGAGTCTAGTGGTAGAAGAAAGTGGTATTTGTTTACTGGCGGGAAAGGGACAAAAAGGGATTGTCCTGGGGACCTTGGGTCCTTTTATCAAGAAAACCCACCTGCACTGGTGATTGTGTATGTGTGAACATTTACTTATTCATTCAGCAGGCACTTTCTGAGACTTTTTCCATACGGCAGGCCCTGGAGTGAAGTGGACATAGCTCCTGCTCTCAGTATTCACGTTTTAAAAGGGAGATGACACATATACAGGCAACTACAGTGATGAGTGCTAGCTGACTGAGCCAGAAACTGAACCCAGGTCTACCTTTCTACTCTCCCACATCACCTCTGGATGTGAGGTCCTCAGTGTGTATGTCTCTCTCTGCTCGTGCTGTGTGTTTGTGGGCATGTGTGATGTGTGCTAATGTATCTTTGCATCATGGGGTGTATGCATACCCATTTGTGAATATTGTGTGCTTATTCTCATGAATGTTTATGTATGTGTATGCACCCATATCTGTAAGCTCTGCGTGTTTGATTTCATTTGTGCCTCTGTGCATGCGCTTGTGTATATGTGAGACATTGCACTCACATTTACGTGTGTACATTGTGTTCTTGCATGTGTGAGAGAAAGAATAATTGTAGGGGAGGAGTCACACAGGTGGGCGTGTCAGGAATGTACAAGTGCATGCCTCTTCATTGGGTTGTGCCTGTCTGTGTTTTGTTTTTGCCACAACAGGTGTCCCTGGTGGTGAACGTGGCCAGCGAGTGTGGCTTCACAGAGGAGCACTACCGGGCCCTGCAGCAACTACAGCGGGACCTGGGGCCCCACCACTTCAATGTGCTTGCCTTCCCCTGCAACCAGTTTGGCCAACAGGAGCCCGACAGCAACAAGGAGATCGAGAGTTTTGCCCGCCGCACCTACAGTGTCTCCTTCCCCATGTTTAGCAAGGTCGCAGTGACTGGCACTGGTGCCCATCCTGCCTTCAAGTACCTGACCCGTGAGTCCTGATCCTTCCCCTTGCCTTCCCTCAGTTGGCTGAGGCCATGGCTCCCTGGGCAGCAGAAGCCACTGGCTGACTGGGTGACCTGGGGCCCTTTCCAGACCCCCCCAAATGGGTTGATGGTCTGTTCCAGCACTAATCTTTGAGGATGAGCTGAGGGGTATTCCTGCCTAAGAATATCTTCACCCTGCTACCTTCCACCGCCCCCACCCCCCAGCCACTCTTGCAGACATCTCTGGGATCCTGTTTTCATTTGCAGGGCCCTCAGATTTTAGCCAGTGTGAATTAGTTGGACTGAGGCTGGAGAAACTGAGGAGCAGACAGGGAAGGGATGCCGCATGCCTGGAGAAGGCTGACAGGCATTTCCTGTCCTGAGTCAGAGTCAGAGTCAGAGTCTATTGGCCACGGGAGAGAAACCTGAGCTAAAATACCAGGTCTCAGTATTTAGAAATAGATCCCTTCTCCAGCCCCAGAAGCCTCAAAGTTGCAAAATGGGGTCATGGGCCACGCTGGTCATTATGGTCCCGTTTCCTCCCTGGGCCCCTCTCCCGGACTCCATCTTTGCCTTCTCCCACTCCCTGCTTCCGGTTGCCTTCTTATCCCTCCCCACCCCGCACCCACCCTTTCACCTGGAGAAGTCAATGAGAAACAACAGTGTGGCACACAAAAGGCCCCTTGCTGAGGCAGATTGGAATTTTGCTCTGTAGGTCAATCCTAATATTTACTTTTTCCCCCCTGTGTGTTTTCATTAGTTCCTTCCCAGTTTACCATAGTTATAGATCAAACCTGGCCCTGCTTTGGAAGCACCTGGGGAGCTCTTAAAAATGCATTAGCCTGAAACCTAATGAAGCAGAGCCCAAGAATCTGTTTATTTTATGCACCCCTCACCACCACCACCACGATTCAGATGCAACCAGTCCGTGAACATTTGGAAACCATTTAGATTTCATTAGCGAATAGGATGTAGACTGTTCAGTAGTTTGAGATCATTAATAAAGGAAGAACTAATACTGCTTTATCAAACACTTCACAGAATCCTAGAGCAGTAGTTCCCAACTTTGGTACCACATTAGCATCGCCTGGAGAGCTTTTGAAAAATACTGATGCCTGAATCCAGAGATTCTGACTTAGATGGTTTAGGGAGGTGGACTGGGCATCAGGATTTTTAAAACCCTACAGTTAATTCTAATTAATTGAACCACTGCTTCAAGGGAAGAATGGACAATGATAGTGGAACTCCAGGAGAGGGTACACAGGGAAGCACACACTTTGCTCTCCTTCTTCGTTTTGTTCTAGAAACTTCTGGAAAGGAGCCCACTTGGAACTTCTGGAAGTACCTAGTGGCCCCAGATGGAAAGGTGGTAGGGGCTTGGGACCCAACCGTGTCGGTGGAAGAGATCAGACCCCAGATCACGGCACTTGTGAGGAAGCTCATCCTGAAGAAGCGAGAAGACTTATAACCACTTTCCCTCCTCTCCCACTGACCCTTCCTCCCTCCCCCTCTCCTTCCATGGGTAACCAAAGCAAATTCAAATGGTGCTTCAAAGGAAGAGACTATGACTCTCCTTCATCACACCCACCCCATCACTCCTGTGGGGGGAGAATTCTAGTATTTTGATCACTTGAATCTTAGATCAACCTACAGGAACTCCTAGCCAATGACAGCTCTTAACCAATGAATCACTAGCCAGTAAGAACTTCTAGTCCATGAAAACATGTGGCAAATAGAAGTATATCGAGCAATAATCTCCTGTCTATTAAGAACTCGATAAAACGGGGCCAATTCCTACCTCACAGGGCTGTTGTGAGGAGTAATGAATGAGCTGTGAATGTGCCTAGAGCAGTGACAGCTCAAGAGGAGGCATTTAATAAATGTTTTTTTGCATATAAACCAATAAGTTGTGATTAATGAAAATTAGCACCCAACATGAATTTCCAGCCAATGAGAATCCAAGCCAAACATTTATTTGTTGTTGTTTTCCTCTGTATTATTTTTTAATTACAAAAGTAATTTAAATTCATTGTAGATAATGCAGGATGTCATGATAAAATGAAAATGTACCCCTCATTTTCTATATTCTCACTCCCTGGAGGTAAACATTGTGAGTAATTTGGTACAAAGTCTTCCAAGCCTTTTTTTCATCAAGCCAATCATTAAGACTCAATAGAATTCACTGACCGAAAGTACCTAAAACAACAGTCAAAAGAAATGAATAGATAATTCACAGAATATAGATGGATAATAAGGATATGAAAAGATAGTCAACTTCATTCAAGTTAGAAAGATTTTTTAAATGATCCTACCCATTGTTAAGGATGTAGGGAAATGGGAATTATATAACTATTGTTGGGACAATAAACTGGCACAAGTTTTTGGAGAGTGATTTAGCATATCTTTTAAAACAAAGTGTTCATGGCTTAGTAGATAGAGCATTTGCCTGCAGACCAAAGGGTTCCGGGTTCGATTCTGGTCAAGGGCACGTACCTAGGTTGCAGGCTCCTCCCCTACCCAGCCCAGGCCCTGGTCAATGCTTGTGCAGGAGGCAACCCATAGATGTTTCTGTCTTTCCCTCTCTCTTCCACTCTGTCATAAAAAAAAAAGGAAAAATATCCTCAGATGAGAATTAACAACAAAAATAAAACCAAACAAACAAAAGAGTATTCATACCCTTTGATCCACTATTTATCCTTTTAGAAGATTCCCAAACTATGCAAATATATATGTACAATAATATGTTCATAATAGTGGAAATTGAATGTAACCCTTGTGCCCATCACAACTTATTACCAACCCATAAGTTATGATACAAATCCAAATGATACAATAATATAGTTACTAAAATTAATGAATTAGATTTCTATATGCTATCACAAAAGTTGTCCAAAAGTGAAAAAAGGGCAAGTTGCAAAACAGAATGAACACATTCACACACAAAAAAAAATCCAGTATAAAGTATAATATTTTTATTAAAAAATTACAATGTTAAGTGAGAGAAGGGGGGAGGAATATAGACCAAACTATTAATGGTGGTTGTCCATGAAGGGGTGAGTAGGGATAATAGGAGTGGTTCACTTTCTTTGTTAAGTATTACTGTAATGTTTGAATTCTGAATATAAAATATATTTTTTACTTTTATAAAATACTAGGGGTCTAGTGCATGAATTCGTGCACCTTGAAAGGAACTGTGGGCCACAAGGCTGCAATGGGCATAGGGGCAGGTCTCGGCTGCTCCTCCGCTCCCCTGCCTGGCCCCTCCCGCCATGGCCCCTGGTCCCCTGTCTGCCAGCTGCCCCGCTCCTGCCAGCCCTGCTTGCACCCGCTGATGGCGTGGAGTGACTGAGGCAGGCGCCAGCAGCGGGTGCGAGCGGCGGCTCTGGCACCGGCAGTGGGTGCGAGCACCAGGTGGTACTGCAGCATGCGGGAGCAAAGAATTTTCAGTAACCACCAGAGGCTCACCCTGATGACAGGACCAGCTCCCCCGCCTTGGTCTGGTACCCCTGCTCACCTGCACCGCCACCCCACCCTGGCCGACACCTCCCTTGTTCTGTGCTCTGCCACCTGCTGCCGATGCCTGCCATGTTCCATGACAGCCCCTGGTGGTCAGCGCACATCATAGCAACTGGTTGTTCAGTTGTTCAGTTGTTTGGTTGTTCCACTGTTCGGTCTATTTGCAGATAGATAGATAGATAGATAGATAGATAGATAGATAGATAGATAGATAAAAAGAGGCAGCTAAAAATGGAGGTGATGGGCAAAGTCACTGATTGATAATTCATTAGCCAGTAAGAACTTCATGTCTACTTCTCCCAAGGGTCCCTCTTCTAGAAGAAGCAGATTCAGATTCAGGTTCTGACTATGTCCTGAATCACATACTGAGCAAATTGTTCCCTGTCTTCTGTCCTCAGTTTTCCCAATGGACAATGAAAGGTTTGAACTGTGCTTATAGTTCTCATAGTCTCCCGTAACAGTCCTCAAAAGCTGCCCTGAGTAAATGAAGGCTCTCTGAATTGACCATAAACCCCTCTACGGTGGCCTCCAGACTACCCTTACATACCCTGCTCTATGATCCAGCTCAGCATATACTCGTGTGGGCACACACACCTATACAATGAAACCCAGTTATCTGACATTTTTGTGATGGACAACCTCAGAACCACATTCTCTATGAACATGTCTCTGACTTTATCCTTCTTGACCTCTCAGCCACATCTGACATTGCAGACCTCATTCTTCTCCCTGACACATTCTCTTCCCTTAGTTTTCATGCCACTGTCATCTCTTGGTTTTCTCCCTCTCTCTGAGTGTTCCTTTCTTCTCAGTGTCAGTTCATGTTTCTTCCTCTGCCCTGTGCTTCCCTGTTGTTCTTCGTTGGGGTTCCAGGCTGGTCCCTTTTCTCACTCCATACACTTTTCTGTACCTATCTCATTTTTTTTCCCCCATGGTTTTGACCACCATCTGTGCCTTGGACTCAAATCTCTACTTTGGACTGATATCAACCTGCCTACTGGGCATGTCTACAGACACCTCAATTCAACTTAACATACCTGGAACTAAACTCACCAGCTTTTCCTTCTACCCAGCCTTTGCAAACCCTCTAAGCCAGTGGTTCTCAGCCTTGGCTGCACATTAGAATCACCTGGGATTCTTTTTAAAATCCTGATGTCTGGGCCTCATCCTCCAGAAGTTCTGTTTCTTTGTTACTAATGCTATGGCCCTGCCCCATAACAAAGAAACAGAATTTCCGGAGGAGGAGGCCCAGAAATCAGGATTTTAAAAAGATTCCCAGGTGATTCTAATGTGCAGCCAAGGTTGAGAACCACTGCTCTAAGCCTTTCCTATTACACACCACTCAGCTCACTCACCACACTCTATTCTCATTGTTTAAGCAACTGCCCGTTTTTTCTCTTTAGCACAGTGCCTGGCCCTTAGCAAATTAAATGTAATTAGATGGAAAACATTTTGAGCAACAGCTCCATGCTGTCCCTGACCTAAATCCTATCTGCAAACCAAAGACAGACAATTTCTCTGTAAGTTTAGAGTCCAGCTGAGGATTTTACAGCCTCAAGTAGACCTACATTCCTATAGGCTTTATCAGCTTTCTGCTGTTTCCAAATCCCCTCTAATACGCAAGAATCCCCTAGGGAAACCTCACTTTAAATCCTTTCCAACTATTACATTAGTCATTGGTTAACCAGTATATGCTAAAAACTTAGTTTTAAATTAATCCCTCAGTTATCAGTCAGCACTTGAGTAGTTAATATGTGATTTTCTACTAACACTTTAATTATCTTCTAACACTTTACTTTTAAGCAGAATACTTTATTTATTAGGTTATATATTAGCACTCAGTAATGTGGACGAAAAAGGGCAGGTCATGCTGGGTAGTCATACCCCAGGCCTATAACTTCTTCAGTGAAAGGTTTTTAAGCAAACTGCCCATTGTTCTTGTGTATCGCAGTTAACACACCTTTGAAATGCGGAAGTAATACTCCTCAAAGGTGTAACCACACTTAAGAAAGCACATAATCTTGTAATCTAATCCCTTCCTTGCTTTCTACCTCCTTCATGTAATCTTACTTAAATTACCTCATTAATTCCAAATACATTTTAAAAACTGCAATCTGTTATATATGTTGTCAATTTGGTTCAAATAAACTCATGAAAATTCTCTACAAGTTTGCACTTTTCTTACATCGACAGTAGTTTAGCTATTTGACAAGCCTTAATTATTCATCTATATTTTAGTTGTCTTCTTCAATCTCATTACCTATTCCTTAGCAATCTGCTAGTAGGTTAGGGTAGATTAGCAAGCCAGAGACCACCGGTTAGGAATTTGAAAAGGGGGTCATTTCTGGCTGTGGATATGATAAGGGCCTTTGCTTTTGCTGAGCTCTCCTTCCGTGCCCTTTTCCCCCACCTTCCCAATGATTCATTCTCTTTCAACATCATTGATCCCAGGTCCTCAGAGAAAGGGAGGTCCCATCGTCATCTCTTATTTACTTCTCTAATTTGGGCTAGAGAGTGGAGGGCAGAGAGTGTGACTATGAGGGAACTTCCTGGAAAAGTATGGTTGGAAGAAACATTCATTCATCAACAAGTATTTCTTGAGCTCTGCTATGTGTCAGGTTCTGCACTAGGTTTTAGGGATACATCAGTGAACAAAACACACGTTTCCAGCTGTCATGATGCTTAGAGAATAGTGGGGGAGACAAACATTAACCAAATAATTACACCAATTATTATAGAACTAGAGACGCAGTGCACGAATTCGTGCACCAGTGGGGTCCTTCTGCTTGGCCTGCAGGATTGGGCTGAAACTGGCTCTCCAACATCCCCTGAGGGGTCCAGGATTGTGAGAGGGCACAAGCCAGGCCAAGGGACCCCACTGGAGCACAATCAGGGCCTGAGAGAGATGTGGGAAGTTGGCCAACTGGGGAGGGACCATGGGAGGGCTCCAGGGTGTGTCCAGCCCATCTCACTCAGTCCTGATCAGCCGAACCCCAGCAGCAAGCTAACCTACAGGTTGGAGCATCTGCCCCCTGGTGGTCAGTGCACGTCATAGCAACTGGTTGACCGGTCGACTATCTGCCCCTGGTGGTCAGTGCACGTCATAGTGAGTAGTTGAGCGGCCTTAGCATATCATTAGCATATTATGCTTTGATTGGTTGAAGGATAACCGGACAACCGGACACTTAGCATATTAGGCTTTTATTATATAAGATTACAAGTACCAGGAAGAAATACAAGGAGCCATGAGCATGTTTAAAAGTGGCATGGAGCCTTAGCTGATTTTGCTCAGTGGTTACAGCATCAGCCCAACGACCAAAAGGTCCTGGATTTGATTCCTGGTCAAAGGCACGTATCTGGGTTACATGTTTGATCCCTAACCT